TAAGGGAGTGGAGCATCTCTCTTATGAGGAAAGACTGAGGGAGCTGGGTCTCTATAGTTTGGAGAAGAGGAGATTGAGGGGTGACCTTATTAGTGTATATAAATATATAAAGGGGGAGTGTCACGAGGATGGAGCCAGGCTCTTCTCAGTGGCAAACAATGAAAGGACAAGGGGTAATGGGTACAAATTGGAGCACAAGAGGTTCCACTTAAACCTGAGAAGAAACTTCTTCTCAGTGAGGGTGACAGAACACTGGAACAGGCTGCCCAGGGAGGTTGTGGAATCTCCTTCTCTGGAGACATTCAAAACCCGCCTGGACACGTTCCTGTGTAACCTTATCTAGGTGTTCCTGCTCCGGCAGGGGGATTGGACTAGATGATCTTTTGAGGTCCCTTCCAATCTCTAACATACTGTGATACTGTGAAACTACGGATGAAAAGAGTGGGCTGTACTGCACGTGCAGTCTAACTTGGAAGGTGTCCTGGGTTTAGCAGTAGCAGTCATTTTTCTCCTTCTTGGTAGCTGGTGCAGTGCTGTGTTTTGACTTTCGGGCTGGGAGCAAAGCTGATAACAATGATGTTTTGGTTTGGCCAAGGACTTTGTGAGCCTCATGCTCTGCCAGGGAGGAGGGGAAGCCAGGAGGAAGCAGAGACAGGACACCTGACCCAAACTGACCAAAGAGGTATTCCACACCACAGCACGTCATGCCCAGGAGGTAACTGGGAGGAACCTGGAAGGGGCTAGAGTGGACTGCAGGGTTGGAGGAGGTATCGGTCGGTGCTTGGTTGGGCTGGGGGGGCGAGTTATCAATCGGCTGGTGATGGGGTGTTGTGTTCTCTTCCCCTGTTATTTACTTTATCATTACTATTATTGGTGGTAGCAGTAGTGATTTGTGTTATACCTTAGTTACTAAACTGTTCTTATCTCAACCCGTGGGAGTTGCATTCTTTCTGATTCTCCTCTCCATCCCTCCAGGAGTAGGGGGAGGGCAAGAAAGGTGGGGAGTGAGTGAGTGAAAGCTGTCTGGTTGGGGTTAAACCACGACAGAAGGTCTTGTGTTTCAGTGTTAATCTTGTTATGAAGACCAATAGGGTTTTACACTCTGGAGCTGCCAAACTAACACTTTGCACTATGATCAAAACTAAGCCCACACACAAGTTTTCTATTAAGGTGGTTTTAGAGAGACATCCAAAGCTACTTAAAATACTGCAGGCCCATGTAATATTAGGACAAGGAAGCCATATTTTTGTGTCACGGTATCATTACAAACTAGTGAATGTTAATGGAGGCTATTATCAAGGAGAATGATTTTGATGCGTACGAGAAAGATAGATAATGGAGAGCTACACTGACTAATTACCTCCTTAAGACCTGCCATTTAAGTACATACTGGAAACAAAACAGTTAAAAATCAATAATTTTAAATTAAACATTATGTGGGATGCAGATACTGACACCTATAGTGAGAAAGCCAGTTTCTACTTTCAGGCTCTTCAACCTTTTTATGTTAAGATTAGAAAATGTTCCGTTCATAAGAAGTTTGTTACTTCAGTAATGTGAACAACTGTTGTTGCAACCTGTTTGAAGAATAAAACCATTCATAACAAGACTGCTTTCTCAAATAATCATTTGTGAAACAAGCATGCGTTCATCTTTCATCAATAGTTGGCAGATAGGCCATCTTGATACAACTCAGAATACCGGGGATTATTGACAAGCATATGTAAATACCAAACTTTGTAAGATGTAAAGTGATGCCAAGGCTTCATTTAATAGTTACTGCCTGGAATTTAGTATTTCTTCTGTGTTCTGACATTTGGTTTTATGAAAAGAAATGTTTAAGAAGTTCACTCAGTTTTAGCTGCCACTGGTAGTCTTCACTGACTTTGGTGGACTTGTAACATAAGAGACTGTTTATTAGGAGTAAGGCAGAAAGAGTTTATTTTATAATTCATAATGAAAGGACAAGAAATTGCTAGAATGAATATCTGCATAGAGGCTATGGAAGCTGTTGGGTTCTTTGACTTTTCCTGAAGTGTGGCAACATCCTCGCTCAGATACGAGATCTGATGTAGCCATTCTCCCAGTGAGCAGGCTGACATTCAGCTCAAAAGTCAGGCCTTGAACCCTGTTTCCTTCATTATGGGGATGGGGCTTCATGGATTTGCACACATTCAAATCCTAGGACACAAAAACCTACCAATAAGTTTAGAATACTTTTCTGGATTGGAATAAAACTAAAAAGTATTGAAGTGCTTTCCTGAGTGAGAGCCTCAATCGCTTAGACTTAAACTCTATTTGCAGTACTCAATATAATTACTTCTAAGAACAAGTTGGTCTCCTAAATTGGAGAAGCATTGCAGTGAAAAATAATATACCTAATTGCAGGAATATCTCATTAAAATTACTACGATCTTTTATTCCAATACCAACTTTTCTCTCCTGATCTCTCACTATTAACACTCACAATGCTGTAACTAGAAACTGGTGGGAATTTCTGAACATTTGATAAGTTTCTTTTAAATTTTTCATGAAAATAACATTTTCCTCAAAAAGTTCTGAACAAATGTAAATGTATCTTAGACTTTATATTTTTATATGCTGAAATGTGTTGCCTGAAAAAAAAAAAACCCCAAACCCAACCCAAAATGAGGTTGGCATAATTCATCTTTTTAAAGATCTTACAGGAAACACTTCAGAATATATTTTTCCAGCTTCAAGCAGTTTGCATTTAGATTGGGATTTAAGAGTCAAAATAGAGACTTTCAAATTTTGTCTCCCTAACACAGTGTGTTTTGCTTTGATTATTCCCACTGCACAAATAACAACAAACAAGTCTAGCTAGACTTTATTCTTAATTGTGTTAGTAAGACATTTACAACACAGTGAGCAGATGCACAAATTTTGGAATGTACAGAATATTTCTATGTACCAATTTTAAGTCAATAGTCTTGGTCCATGCATGATTTTGAAAGCTGAAATTTGATTTAAATTGTGTTAAGAGGCTGTAGCAATGCCACAACAGCTTTTTTTTTCTTATTAATGCAGTGTTAATTTTATAATATCTTTTTAAAGCTGCACTGTTTCTCAGAAAAAACACTATTTTTTTCTTGCTGTGGTAACATGCTAGTCACATTTACATTGATATACAAACAGTAAAAATAATTTTGGTTTATCTTTTGCAATGAGTTTGATTTCTATGAAGGTAGATTTGGGAATTATGTACATTTAAAATAACATTTCCTTCAAACATGAGACAGTTTGGGATAGTACATTGTGTGCTGCATAGGAAGTTGCACTGTTAGAATGCTTTGCTGCCCTCTAGGTGATGCATATTTAGCTAAGTAATATTGTGGTATTTTGCAGAGCTCCAAGGGTTATCTGTAGACTGGATTTTAAATATTCTAAGATATTTGAGAGCAGGAAGCCACTGTTACTGAAATGCTCAAATTAATTTTACAAATTATAAAGTATTTTCTAAGTGTACTGATTTTTTTTCCTTCACTTTGCAATTCCTGTTGAGAATTTTGTCAAGTGGGTTTTGTCTTTCCATGATTTTTTGACAAATAAACATAATAGCTGTAATACCAGCCATTATGTTTCTGCATTTCTCATAGAACCATAGAATAGTTTGCATTGGAAGAGACCTTAAATATCATCTTGTTCCAATCCCCTGCCATTGTCAGGGACACCTTCTACTAGACCAGGTTGCTCAAAGCCATTCAACCTGGCCTTGAACACTGCCAGGGATAGGGCAGCCACAGGTTCTCTGGGCAACCTGTTTTCTGATAGGGCTTTGAAAAACTATTAGTGTCTTACTTAAAGAGTGCAGTGTTGTGGGTTTACATTAAAGCAACTTTGTACTAAAGAAAAAGACTGCAAATCTTTCCAGACTTCAGGACTTCAGAATGCAGTGCTCTTGTCCTGTGAGCGGCTACAGAAGCGGGTCAGACATCCCTCAGTACCTCTCCTGGAGTTATTAGAAGCGGGGCGGCACGAACGACACCTGCCTCTTCAAGGTTGTCTTTCGGGCATCACTGAAGGATCAGTGCCACCTACCGCGGGTTTCTGGAAATCAGCTTCCAGTCGCGTCTTTACCCAGGAGCTGTACTTGATCACTCTGAACAGCGGCAGCTTCTGAAAGTTTTTACCATACATGTGAGTTCCCTCCAAGAAAAAACATAGAAAGTTCAGCTTGGGGAAAAGAAGATTAAAAAAAAAAAAAAAAAAGAAAAGAAAAGAAAAAAAAAAGTCTGAAAGCAACATGTAGTTCTGCAAAAGACATGCTGAGAGAGTTGGGCTTGTTCAGCCTGGAGAAGGCTCAGGGAACACCCTATTACAGTCTTCAGTACCTAAAGGGGTTTACAAGAACGCTGAAGAGTGACTTTTAAAAAGGATATGTAGTGATAGGGCAAGGGGGAATGGCTTTAAACTGACAGAGGGAAGACTTTGATTAGACATTAGGGAGAAATTCTTTACTGTGAGGGTGGTGAGGCACTGGCACAGGTTGCCCAGAGAAGCTGTGGCTGTCCCATCTCTGGCAGTGTTCAAGGCCAAGCTGGAAGGGACTTTGAGCAACCTGATCTAGTGGAAGGTATCCCTACCCATGGCAGGCGGTTGGAACTAGATGATCTTTAAGGGCTCTTCCAACCCTATGAAATTCAGCACTACAACTAAGCTTTGTACCTTTTTTTAAGGCACAATAACGTTAAAGCAGTGTACACCGACGACACCACCCTACGCATCTAACATAACCAACATGCTTATTAGGACTCGAGAAGCCCTTTTAAATACTGCTCAACACCACCGCCCTTGTGCGCGGCGAAGCGTAGAGACCGCGCCCGCAGCCTGCCGCCCACCAAAGAACAAGTACAGCATTCCCCTGACTGCTGAGGGGAGGCTCTTCACTTCTTAAACCCATTTCGATGTCCTTCCCCTCCAGTTTATAGGAAGGCAGGGGCCAAGCGGCAGCTCCTAGGCCGACCGGCTCGGCCGTTCAGCCGTTAACGCTTTAAACTTCCCGCCTGCCACTCGCGGCACCGGTGGCCATGTTGCTTGTTAGCCGCCGCAGTTTCCCGGCGCTGCGGACAGCAGAAGCAGTGGGTGGCTGCGGCTGCGCTGCGTTCTCTTCGGGACCGACGCTGAGGGTTGCGGCCGGCCCGTCGCGCCTCGTTTCTTCGGGCTCCGCCGCTGGGTCGGTGCCGCGGCCGGGAGCGGAGGCGAATCTGCCGCGCCCGTGCTCCCGCTAGCGCGGTTTGGGCGGTTGTCAGGGAGAAACAAGATGGCTGCCGCGGCGACGGAGGAGGACACGGAGCTGCGGGACCTGCTAGTGCAGACGCTGGAGAGCAGCGGCGTGCTCAATAAGATCAAGGTGGGGGAAAGAGAGCAGCTCGTCCGCGTACATGTCCCTCAGTGGGCAGGGGGGGAACCCTGGCTGGTGCTGGAGGCGGTTAACGGCCCTGTGCGGTTCTTTGTGGGGCGCTGCGGCTTCACGCGTTTCGTCCCCTCTCACTGCCGTTTCCAGCTGGTGTTGCCGGTTGGGCCCTCTCTCGGCGTCGCGGCCTGTCGGTGGCGCCTGTTTTTCCCGTGCGCTCAGCGGTCGCTGGGCCCGGGATTCGGCGGAGCCGCGTTTAGCGCCTGCCTCACGTGCTGGAGCTGGGACACGCGGGACGTGGAGGCGAGGGCCCGAGGCCTGGCCGCCGCATGAGAGCTGCCCGCGGGCCCAGGACTCGATGGTTCACCCGGGCGGGAAGAGGAAAAGCAGCTTTAGGCCGCCGCAGGCAGTCCGGCCCCCGGCTTTGTGGTTTCGCCTCATAGATACCGTGTGGCCGTAGGAGATCGCTTGATGCCAAACCTGCTGGAAGCGTTCGACCGCCGGGTGGTGTGAGACAGGGTGGGTAGAGTTTCTCCCTGTTTCGGTACGAAAAGCTATTGAAAATTCCAGACAGGAGTTCTTGAGGGTTGCTGTTTAAACGTTGTTCTTGTGCGTGGATTGCTTGAGCTGTGTCTTGGAGGCTGAATCTGGAAACTCTAGGGGGATGCTGCCTGCGTACAGGGTACAAATAATGCCATGTCAAAAAAGCCTGTGTACGATAGTGTTATGGTAGAGCATATACTGCTTCCAAGACTGTGGTGTGTAGCCTGAGCTTCTGAGAGAAAGTACATGAAAATTGGTTCCATGAATTCTTGTTCAAGTTAGAAAGAAGCCTTCAGCAGTAATTACTGTATATAGCAAAGAGTCATACAGATACAGAAGCTTAAGAAGTGCTGCATTCCCTTCCAAACTAAAGGAGAAATGAAGTTTGGATTTCAGGTCAAGGATGGTGGTATTTATCCACAGTGTAATATTTTAAGCCTCGAAGAAGTGAGCCATCACTGCTAGTATTTGAGGAACAGCTCAACAGCTGAAATGGGTAGTGGAAGTGAGATCATCTCTGCATGTATAATTTGATTTGTAGCACTGGAATTTGGGCTGGTTGTCATACCTTTCAGCAAAGAATTAAAAATGTATCAGTCTTGCATTTCAAATGGATAGTCCTTGTTTAAACTCTGTAGGTAGATGAAGATTCTATTGCATGTAACTGTGTTTTGAGTAGGGAGACCTTTTTTCTAGCTGAATGTCAAATAGGCCTTTTGGGCATCTGTTAATCTCTCACATAGTATTAAGTAATATGGTGATAATACAATGATAATTAAAAAAAATCACAAGCCAATTGGATCGTATTTACCACATGAGCTGCAGTTTTTTAATTCTTGTCTTTGTGTTGTATGCAAGCTATTGTACTGTGGTCCCCAGTTTGAGTTTTGTGTAAATATATCTATCGTAATCTTCACTATTCTGTAATGCTGAAAGTGTGTAGAATCCAGTATGGTGTAAGGTATCCTTAAGGCAAGCTAGCAATTGACTTGGAAGAGTACAAACAGCATCCTACTTACCAGATTATATCTCTTACATACCTGCACAGTTTTCAGCTTCTCTACTTCCTGTGCTCCAAAATGACTGTCGTATACCTCAGTAGATACAGAGTAAGACTGGCAGAGCATTAAGGAGTTTAACCACTGGTGACCACCCTAGGCCATCTCTTCTTTAATCTTTGAAGTTACTGTTTAATAATTGGTGTGCTTATGGTTAAGGCTGTTCATTTGAGGATTTCATGGTGTTTTTTCTAAGCAGTAAACCTTAACTGGCATGTGAGTTTGACTGTTGCTTGACAGAATTTGTTCTGATAGTACCTTGCAAAAGATCCATTGTTTTCCAAAAGAATTAAGGTTGAACAAGTCTTCTTAAACTGTCATCTCTCGATTGAAATTACATACCATGCATTAAAACCAAACAGAATTGTAATCGTACCTCCATTAAAATAAATGAAACACGGTTGTGATCAACAGCATTTATCTATTGTGATAGAACTGAATGATGTTTACATGTTATCAAAACAGTTGTTTATCTTGTACTTCAGAATGAGTACTGACCATTTTATTTCAAGATGGATAAGGTTAGAAGGCTGACCTCAAAGTTGTGCAGGTGTATAGGATACATAATCTGGTAATAATAAACTATAATAATGTATTCGAGGTTTATTGAAGTGGATATATTAAAGAGACAAATATATGGTCCATATATAACTGAACTGGTATGATGCACTACAGGTAAAGACAGCTGGAAAAGATAAGAATTCAAAAGGAATTATTTCAGTGACTAGAATGTATCAAACTGTCAACTAATACATTTTCTAACATAATGACTGATTTTTAGAAAGAAACTTAAGGGTGATGACTTTGCTCTCTAAAACAACCTGATTTTACAGTGGGTTGTAGCTTGTAAGTTTCTTCTTAATTTGCGGTAAGTTTTTCTGTTTACCTTAGACACTGAGCACTGGAATACTTAATAAAGTCATAATGTGAAAAGTAGAAGAGCTGTAATGTTTGCCACTTGCAGTTGAGAATTTCCTGTCTTCTCTGAGCTGCAGTGTGTGTAGATATTTGTAATTTGTTAATCATTGGAATTAATCTGATGGATAAGACTGCTTCCAATGAATTTTGTAAACATACAGAATAGAACTGTGATTACTCGTACTTTAGTGAAAATTATCACTGATGCTGTGTGATGCAGGCTGTTAGAAATAGAAATGCTCTTCTGTTTTGAGGAGAATATGGTCTTTCTCTTTGCTAGGGAAGCTGTTTTCATAAGAGGAAGAATCATGATGCTATTTACTGTGTTCCTTTATCTTGTTTTGCTTTGGGGGTTAGGGCTTAAGGAGGGAGGGAGGAGCACACTGGCACATGCTCAAGGATGAGAACCTTACTGACTGGAGAAGAAGAGTGACAGGGAGGGTACTGAATAACACAGGTAGTGAAGTGCTGTTCACACTTTGTCACAAACTTTGGATTTGTAATATATATAAACTGGTATGGGCTTTTAGCCCAACGCACACAGGGTTTTGGCCTGGGGTGGTCACCAGGGGTTAAACTCCTGCCAGTTGTGCTCTGTATCCACTGAGGTATATGACAGTCATTTTAGAGTATAGGAAGTAGAGATGCTGAAAATTATGCAGAATTGTGTCTGTGTGCTAGTAAATTTTACGTACACAAGAGATATTTGCATATGCACAGGGTTCTTTCATATCATTGGAACACATGGCAGTTATACATGCCTGTGCTTTGCCTAGAATATCTGTAAACAGTTTATCTCAGCAGTGGTACATTTTTTTACCCTCCAAAATGTTATGCATTTCTTTGTTTCCCTGCCCTAACTGTATATTTAACCACACTGCTGCATGTGTTAGTAACAATTTGTGAATGAAAGCTTGCAGGTGAGTTTTGCACCTCCAGCTAGGCCCCTTGCAGGTCTCTGAAGTGAGTGTCTCCCTCATTAACACTTGCTGAGCTTGTCTACCACTAATTTCTTGGTAGATGCAGAAAGTTGCATGCATGTGGCTTCAAAAACTAATGTGTTCAGCTGCTTAAGAAGGGTGGCAGTATGTGCATTTGGGGAGTTGAAATTTATGTTCTGTTTTCTGCTCGTGGGTCTTTGATGGGGTGGGGGTGGTGTGTGAAATTCCAGGGTTTCCTCTGTAAAAGCTACAGGACTGCAGGGGTTTGTAGAAATGATGTTGAGAGATGCATGAAATGAACAGCAAGGCTTTGTCAACTAGCACACAATGTTATGTTCAACTGTGTGTGTGCAAAGCAGTTGATAAAATTAAAGTGACCCACTTTTTTAGCTAATATTTCATAGCATATTGAGATCAGTGTTGTGAAGCTATTGCTTCTTCATCTAAGATACTGCTTCAGGAATAGAACATATGAGTAAAGTGTGGTAGGAAAAATTTTACTGAGATTTTTTTGGAAGGTATTGGGATACTGGGGATGTTTGCAAGTGAATTGGAAAGCTATGCAAAGGAGACCAAAAGTGGGCAAGGAGAAGCCCTATCCACCAAAGTGGCCAAGGATAAGCCCTATCCACAGTTTGTGCTTAGTGCCTATTAGGTCATCTTGGTTACTGATGTGTTTATATGTTCTGGGGCACAGAAACCAGTTTCCGAAGTCCCCAAGTGTTTTCCTATTGGAAAACACTGTCTCAAGTTTTGTACTAGGACAGTAAGCTGTCTTGTTTAAGTGCTGGACACATGTGTTCTAGCACAGTAAAAGACAAATGCCTTCATAAAAGAGAACTCAAGGGACATGCTACCTGCCTATGTATGAAGGTGAGCCTGCTATTCTGGGGAATGGCACCATCTGGGAGAAATTGACACTATGTCATTAAATAATGAGAAGTGGAAGAAAAGCACCTGAATCAGTATTTAAAAGCTGCTGGGTTGGACTTAGAGGAGTGGAGCAGGCAAATAATCACAGTTATGTGAAAAGCAATGATAATTACGGTATTGTTCTGCTATGTCAGTCAGACACTGGATTGGCTGATGTAATGGTAACCACTTTCAGACAGCTTTGTTCTATGGTCTCATGGTCGAGACCCATAAGGGGGTTTCCCCCTACCCACGTGTCATGGCTGGTGTCTTTTATTTTGAACAGTTGTAATAGCCAGTCTGTTTGACAAATGCTTTGTTGTTATTCTTGTCCTTTTATGTAAGTATACTTGGTTTCAGTTGCATCAGTGGAAAGAAGTGATCATTGCAATCATCTGAAACTTTTCATACTGACATAAGACTAAATAATCAAGTTGTTTGCGATTGGTTGGAAAGCTACTTGTAAAATGATTTTGTAAGATAACATTTAAATTAATGGGTTGTAAGAGGATTTGCTGGTGGAATACTGTACCCCAGCACTGAAAAAAATTAACGGTGTCTGTATGACCATTGCATGCAACTGTGGTAAGCATTTTACACTTATGATGAAAGAAAGTTAAAAAGATTTCCTATTACTTTGTATTCTTTGAAAGGGTGTCCAATGATGGTTCTGCTTAAAAAGGAAGCATTTATCTTATTTTTCCCATGGAAGGATTTTCTTTTTAATTTATTTTGGGGAGGAAACAGTCACAGGGTATTCTGTGTTTAATTACCCTTCATAATATATGTGAGAAAATCCAGACACTCATCATACTGTTCTTATTCTTAGTTGTGGAAATTAATCTTTCTTTAAAAGCTTGCTTTCTTTGCTCTTGAGAAACCTGTCAGAGAGTAGCACTGCCATTTATATTTCATCATGGCAGTGTTATCTACTGGCTACTTCAAAATGTCAGAGTAAGAGTTTATTAAAGTGGCATATTACTTCATCAAATGTAATGTGTGTTGTCCGTTTTATATGTTCAAAGGAAGAAGTAGAGAAACTGTAGTGTTTAAAAAAAATATTCAAAAAATAGGCCAGGTTTAGGCTTAGGCTTGAGCCTAAACATTCAAAATAGTACTCAGAAGAATTCTGATCCTTAAGATATTAAAAATCAGTTAGGTAAAACCTCACTCCAGGAGTATTTGACTGGAATCATGTTCTCTTTTCCTTGCCGTTTTCTTTGAGAAATTAGGTTTCTTTGGCTGTGATCTGACAAGAAATTGCAGGGATTTGTATATCTTAACATTAACTTAAAAAAATGTATTATCATAAGCTATTCGTTCATGTTTTCTGAACAAATTGTAAATGAAAGGTAGGTGTTTCAAAGCTGCCTGAAAGAACTGGATTTTTAACTCTCAGAACAAACTAATAGGAGATAATGTAGCTAATTTGGATTTTTTTTTTGTGTATGAAAAGATAATTTAGAAAGTCTTGCATCAAACACTCCTTCCACTAACCCCTTGTTGTTCTCAGACTGAAAACTTCTTTCCAGCCCCAGGTCACACTGTCTGTAATCTTAAGTATTTTAATTGCTGTGATATAGATTACAAGCAATGCCAAGTTGCTCAAGGAGAAACAAATAGCTGTTAAACTACTTGCTGACTTTTTGCATTCTATTTGCATAGGAAAAACAGTGCTTGTACAAATGCACTTTGTTTTTTATTTGGCAGGCAGAGTTGCGAGCAGCGGTTTTTTTGGCACTGGAAGAACAAGAGAAAGTAGAGGTAAGAGGGCCTTAAAAATAAATTAAAAACTTAGCACCCTGACAGTTCTTCATATAAAATTAAATGCAGTAATGTTAATACTTTATTTGTGAAATTAACAAGAGAAAATTATTGCTGCATAAGAGCATGATGCTTAAAGAACACATAACAGGACTGTCAGAGTGTTTTCTGATGTTTAGAAATAGGAATTGTTATATAGCCCTTTGAAACTGTACCTTTAAGTTACTGTCTCTACTGGTTGTATATTATTTCAGCCCAGTTGACCAGAATAACTAATTTTTTTTTCTATCAAATACTTTTTATAAAAGATACCTTGTTGACTGATCAAGATCTGATAAAACCAGATTAATGTCTTCTGAAATTTAAAATATTATAGTGTAGGTTTTTTTTGTTTGGTAGTTTTTTTTAACAAGTGTATTATGAAAGCAGTTTAATGCAGTAAGTTGCCAAGTATGGTAATGTTTTTGGTATTTCTCATAAGGATGTTGTAGGCTTCAGGATAATTTGCTTATATTTAAGGGAGAATTTTGAATGAAGAGAAGGGCTATGTACTGATATGTTGACAATATAATAATATTACAGGTATGCTATACTGGCATGATTAAGTAACAATACTGCTGAGGTATGCAGATGTTAAGTTTTGTGACCCCTTGTAGTATTTCTGTGTTTTTTGCGTCTTTCTATTCTCTAGAGCTAGAGACGAGAGGGTATTTTATGTCCATTCTCTGTTTCAGAAGAGAGGAATGAAAAACTGACCTATCATCTGCCAGTTAGATGGTTGTGCTCATGCCGGAAAATGGCACAAATGAAACAGATATCATTGTAACATTAGTAAGGAAGGGCAGTAGTTATTCTATGGTATAAGATTCCCTATTCCAGAAATCTAACCCAAGATTGCTGAAGAAGACAGTGAAAAAGTGGTAGTAGCAGAGCAGTTTTATCTCTTGTAGGAAACGTCAGCATGTTATAGAGTACCCAGGGAACAGCCTCAGACTATCTGGAGAATAATAGAGCTGAAGAGAGATTTTCTGCAGTTGATCTAGGCTCACCCTTTCTTCAAAAGGCTTAGATGTATCCTATTTTAATTTTATGCTGTAGGAACACTTGAAATATATTAATATTTATCTCTACTCTGAATACCTAAATATTAAGCATGAGATTTTTCTTTTTTTTTCTTTTTTGCACAGCGCTTTCTTATGTGTGTTAGCATTTATGACTATAGTAATAAATACCTATAACAGATCCTTTTTTCTTAAAGTTAGGTTCTTACCCAGGATATTTTGATATGTTAGGAATGGCATTTTAGAATTTGGTTTGGAATACCCCTGAACAATTTTGACAACTCACATTGATTTATCTCTGTTTAAAAATAAAAGTTGAAGGTAGCAGATTTAACAAGGAAGGAAAAACATTAGCATAATATCTTTGAGATTAATTTATATACATTTGTGATCCAGTAATTAACATGATCCACACTTTGTCAAGATGATTTGTAAATTCTTCTTTCTTTTTTTTTTTTAAAAAAGGTGGGACTGAATTTCCCTAAACTTGGCACTATACTAGAGGTGCAGTCTGGGGAGTTAATTGCTTAACTTACCTTTTTGATCAGTAAGTAAATAGAAGTCAGTACACTATGAATTTTAGTGAAATTATTCTACCTCTGTATCTTTTATAATAGAAATAGAGACAATTCTAATTTGCCTAAATGAAGACATGGCTCTGCAGCTTTTACTTGTAGGTAGTAGAATTAAAACAAAGGTGGATTTTGAAGATGTGACTTGCATATGCCAGGCATCATTGTGGAACAGTGTACACCAAAACGCTAATTTGCTCTGGTTTTCAGTTTCTTGGTAGCACAAGGATGATATTAATTTCTGTTTGTTTTTTTCTTTTTGACAGAACAAAGCACCTCTGGTAAATGAAAGCTTGAAAACTTTTTTAGGTACAAAAGATGGTAAGCTCTTTATACTTGTCGAAGTACTCTAAATATTAAGCAAAGGATTAAATCTTTGAGTGTTTCATTAACAGTACGGTTTTCATGACATAAAGAATGCTTATGTTCCTGCCAAATGTCATGATTACTGTTCATTCAGAATAGAATTTAATCTATAGTTTCTGAAGTTAATATTGCTGAACTTGTTTTTTAACTGAGGTGACTAATGCACTTTAATACTTCATGATGAGTTATGATTATGCTAACTTGGGGCTGGTCTGCACCTATGGAAACAGTAACCAGTGAAAACCACTACAGAGGTACAGTAGTAAATGCACACATAGCAGAAATGTTAAAATAATGTCTTTGAATCAGATGATTAGTTAAAAAAAAAATCTTACACCTGACTTTTCTAAGCAGTCATTATGCTCCTGCAGTATTGCTGAAATAAATAACTGGTGGCTGAGTTACAGATTATGGAGTTGATATACAAATTAGCTATGTGGTGGTAGTTCGCTGAATGTCTAAATGATACTTGTAGGAGTGTTGAATCAGTATACTTCAACACTGAAGCCATGTTAATGTTAAATCTTTGAAGTAAGAATTGTTTCTGTCTGGTGTGTCTTTACTCTTATTTCTTTTTTAGGTCGTTTGGTAGCAGGTCTTGTTGCAGAATTTCTACATTTCTTCAATCTTGATTTTACATTGGCTGTTTTCCAGCCTGAATCAAGCACAGTAAGATATACTGGTTTTATTTGTATGCTATGCGGATTGTTTGGAGTGTGTGGCAATGAATACAGAAGCTATAGTAGACTTGTTAAAGCCACTTGCTTGTATTTATTCTAAATATTTTTTCATATTTAATCTGTAAAAGGTACTCATGGCCAAAGACATTCATTCCAGGAATGTGTGGTAATATGAGGGAGTATTCCCTTTATCAAAAATCAGTGCTTGAGATGTTAATTTTTAATTAATAAATTACTGCTATATGATTTCAGAAAAAGTATTATAGACAACAGAATACTTTTGCAACTTTTTTTCCAATAGTTTTACTATGTCGTGATACTAGGTATTGTTAGATGAAAATTATGTCAGAAATCTACTCTCAGAGAAATTTCAGTGAAACAAATGGCTTTGTGCAGATGTATGTGACAGTGATTGAATAGTTCAGTTGGAAGGGATAGTGTGGCCCAATTGATTGCTTTTAGGCTTTTGGTATTGAGCTACAGGTTTTTTTATCGTATTTGTGCCTCTGTCTGTATTTATAAATGTTTTAAGAATAAATTTGGGTTTGAAATATTTCTATTTAACTGAAAAATTTTTCTTTACACCTCATACTAATTTTTATTCTTAATGTCAGCTTAAATTGATCAGAGATTAATTTATTAAAAACCCAAGTCTTAATTAATTGTCTTCTGTTTCTCAGCAGTTCATGCTTCTTTTTAGGGGCTTAATCAAAGAAAATCCCATGCACCCTTGTTCATTGTTGGACATACTTAGCTGCGTTTATTGCACAAGGACTCATGTCTACAAAGATTCATGTTCATGCTAGCAAACAGAAACAGTCATGCTTTCTGTTGCTCACTCTTAGGAGCAGTGCTCCATCTGCATTGTAAAGGTACCTCATGCTCATTGAAACACCCGCGTCCTTTTTCCAGTAAAAACATCTCTTTCACCTGATGCAGTACATATATGAAACTTAGCCAAAGTTAAGCAAGTTGTCCGAGAATGCTGTGCATATTGCTGAAAGTTTTTCCTTTGTCTTCCTCTGCTGCACCCTATTTCTGAGAAGTCTGTTGTGTTGTCTCTGTTCTCAGTGTTGACTCATGGTGGCTTGCTTCAGTATTTGCTTGACCAGGATTTTGATAGGAAGCATCACTTAAGTAATCGTAAGAGTTCAAGAGGAACTGGTGCCCCTTGCAATATTGCCATTCTGAGGTCATGCCAACCACCCTGGATGTGCTGCAGCATTCCGCTTCTGCTATAACATGAATTTCAGATTTAACAAGTGTTTTGGGTTGTTTTTTTGTCTGTCTTTTTTCTTTGGCTGATAATGAGTTACTTTTATCCCTATTTCTGCTCAAACCCATGTTTTTTTTAAAGTGAAACAGAGACTGTAAGAAATGGTTGACCTATGCTGGTGCACTTCTGTATGCAGAGGAATGGAGGCTCTCCATCATCTATGAATTTACTGGAACAAATGGCTAGGTGTCCAAAGATCCACTTTTAAATGCAGTGGGCTAAACTTGACGGTATAAATCCTGAAGCGTGATAACGGTGAAAACTTCCATATTTAAAACAACTTTGGATGGTCTGTGATAAGTTCAGGTACAGATCAGAAGTAAATGATGCAATAGGCTATCATTACTTTAATATACATGCGACAGGAAGTCTTATTCACTGTTTAGTCAAAATGTTGCTGTGTTAAATAAGATTGAAAAGCTTTAGGAGCTATATTACAATATACGTGTAGTGTTTTCTGACAGTTATTTCAGTGCTGTGATTTTTGTTTTCCCCCAGCTAAATGGCCTTGATGGTCGTGAAAACTTAGCTCGAGATTTGGGAATTACAGAAGAAGGAGGCACTGTGGGTGGTCCCCTGTTACTGGAGGTTGTTCGAAAATGTCAGAAGAATATTTCAAGCAATGGAGAAGTAAGTAGTGTTAACATGTAATTTATTTCTTCATAATTCTTTATTTTCATTTCAGTGATGGAAAAGTAAAGAATACTTAACTGTTGCTGTAGTATATGCTCCCAGTCTTTATTAAATTATGCCTTCAACGTAACTTACAGAAAAATGTTGAAAAATATGATTGACTATTCTGTTATTTTTCATGCCACCCTCATACTCTTGACTAATACTCTGCTACAGTATAGTAACACAGAGTGAACCCAGGTAAATGACACTAAACTGTTGCTTATTTTCATATTTTTAGTGTGATTTGCTAACACTTTAAGCTGTATGTATTTTCTTTGGCATACTTCTAATTTTAATATGACCCGGAAACCCTAGAATTGGTTTTGTTAAAAATCTTTAAAGCTATTCTGAAAACCTAACTAAATATATGAAACTATTAAACTACCTGAAGGCAATGACAGTAATATTTTAATGGAATATATAATTAAGTTGTAAATTAAATGAAATCCAACCAGTTGCATTTGATTAATCTCTGTAATGATTGTGGCTTGAAAGAAAATTCTCTGCACCCAAGATGCATTCAGTACCCCAATGAAAGATTAAATTTAGTAGTTGTCATAGACTTCCTGACACAGCATCATGGTGTCACAGTTTGTGTGCTGTGTGAGTGAGGATGGTAGCCTTGTTTCTTGTTAGGTAGTAGTATGACAAAATTCAATATGTTTTTAAGAAGTGTTTATCTGAAACTTCTTAGGTGGCTCCAGTTCTAAGTGATAGCCTGTGCCCCACATCAAAATCATCTGATGGAAGGTCGAGTACACATCCAGTACCAAGTAAGGTAAGATTGTTAATGTATAATGAAAAAGCTACATAATATACATGAGAAGTAGAAGAGAGAACTCCTATGAAACTGCAGGTACAGTGGCATTGACTTAAATGAGCTGCAAAGTCCTGTGACTTTCTGATTGGGTAGGTGGCAGCATATACACTTTATATATATCATCATCATGGCTTGACTTCGCGAACGAAGATTTGGGAAGGGCATTTACCCACGCTTACTACAAGCGCGCTGATGACTAAGAAGGCCAATGTGGGATAGGCAAATCCGGCTACAAAAAGCACAGCAGAAGGTCTCCTTGGGTGGAACAGGTGGGACACGATTCTTCCTGTGTTGTCTTTTCTCCTCGAGACTAGTTCTTCGTGAACTCTCAAAGGAGTCAGCGGCATTATGTATGGTGTGCCTCCAAGTCTCCCGATTGGAGGCCAAGGTGGACCACTGGTGGTAGTCAATATGGCCAAGGCTAAGGCATTGTTTCAGGGAGTCCTTGTATCTCTTCTTTGGGGCACCTCTCTTGCGGCTACCGGTGGCAAGTTCACCGTAAAACACGATCTTGGGGAGGCGGTGATCCTTCATTCTAGAGACGTGCCCTGCCCAGCGCAGCTGCAGTTTCAGCAATGTGGCCTCGATGCTGGTGACCCCTGCCTGTTCGAGGACAGTGACATTAGACACATAGTCAGTCCAATGGATGTTTAGAATTGTACGGAGGCAGCGCTGATGAAAGCGTTCCAGGAGTCGCAGGTGATGACGGTAGATGACCCATGATTCAGACCCATATAAAAGAGGAGACAGTACAATGGCTCTGTAGACACTGATCTTTGTACTTTTCTTCAGGTGTTTATTACACCAGACTCTTTTATGGAGTTTTCCAAAGGCTCTATATGCCTTTGCTATTCTGTTGTCTATCTCTTTGTTGATCGTGGCATCCGAGGAAATGATGCTTCCCAGATAGCTGAACTGCTGAACTGTCTTAAGCTCTGACTCGCCGATGGTAATATGGGGATGGCGATAATCTTCTTGGGGTGCAGGTTGGTAGAGGACTACTGTCTTCTTCAAGCTGACTTCCAGCCCAAAAACCTCAGCCGCCTCCGCAAAGCAAGATGTTAAACGCTGCAGAGCTGCTTCTGTGTGGGCAACAAGGGCGGCATCATCAGCAAAGAGCAGTTCACGGACAAGATGGTTTAGGGTCTTAGTGTGGGCCTTCAGTCGCCTTAGATTGAATACGCTACCATCGGTACGATATTGAATATAAATGCCGTCTTGTTCGTCGAGGTCTGCTGTAGCCCTTTGGAGCATCATGCTGAAGAAGATTGTGAATAAGGTCGGTGCGAGAACGCAACCTTGTTTCACACCATTGGTTATTGGGAAAGGCTCAGAGAGTGCATCACCATACCTGACTTGGCCTTGCTGATCCTCATGTAACAGAATAATCATTTTCAGGAACTTGGGGGGACAACCTAATCGTTCTAAGATCAGCCACAAGCCTTTCCTGCTCACAGTGTCAAAGGCTTTGGTGAGGTCAACGAAAGTTACGTATAACCCCTTATTCTGTTCTCTACACTTTTCTTGCAATTGTCTGAGAACAAATACCATGTCTGTGGTACTTCTATTAGCCCTGAAACCACACTGACTTTCAGGTAGAAGTTCTTCTGCGATGGCAGGTACTAGTCTGTTCAATAGTATTCTTGCAAGAATTTTACCAGCAATGGAGAGCAGAGTTATACCACGGTATATATATATATATATATATAAATATATATATACGCTGTATATATCTGTGAGACACAGGTTGGAGATAACTTGTCTTTTTATCAGGCAGCTGGCTGATTGCTGCTTGGGAGTGATAAGGTGTTGGGATACAGCTGTCTTCGTATTGGGTCCTGTGGCTTTGTTTTCCTCTGTTGATTCCTGTTAGCACAAAATCTGTTGTTAACTAACATCTTCCAGATCTCCAGTGCACCATTACATTTGACTGGAACTGATCAACAGGTTGAGAATTATGGAAAGTGTAGGGCACAGAAGGGGGCATGATCACTTAAGCCTCTCTTCCACAGAAACCAGCTACCCACCACACTGAGTTAAAAAAAAAAAAGGGGGGGGGGGGTGTTACAAAACATCAACAACAAAACCCCTCCACAAACAGCAACAACCTCCTGAAAAACAACTAAGCACACCAAACCTGATTTAAGTAGTAAATTTTGTTCAAATTAATGATGTGATCTGATCACATAAAAAGTTGTAATAGTTTTTTTCCAGAATTACTGGAAGGAACTTGGAAGCTTTCCAAGTCACTACTGAAAACTGAGAAATATAACATTGCATGGATTTTTGTTGTTAGTTTATTAATTTGTGAAAGGAAGTGATAAGGATAAGAGAAAATGAAATTGCAGCTCAGTCTGGATCTGCTTCATTTTATTCCAGTTCTTTAGTTTTTTGCCATGCAAAACTATACAATTTGAAAAGCAAGGTTCATTTCAAGGTAAAGTTACTTAATTGCTATGCTTGTTGATAGTATCTTAAAAACTAATAGGTCGGTCTGTGTAACTGACCTTTGAATGGAAATCTTAATAATTTCAGACCTGTTTCTTGCTTGGCACCAGCTTTTAAATCAAATCAACTAGAAAGATCTGAATGCTGCTAGTAATAATGTTGCTTTATACCTGAGCCCTGCTTTTGTCTTAGGGTGGTTCTGGTTTAGCTGAGAACTACTAAAGATGAGTTGGAGGTTGTAAATATTCTGCTATCCCTTATATATACCACCTTTCATCTTCATACTTGTTTTGACTAAGTAGGTCAAACGAGAAGAGCCAAGTGTTTGTTACATGGCTTTTCCTCAGGAAATAATATTTGTTTAGAGAAGGAAAAACATTTTTCCAGTAGCCTGGAAAGCTGAGGCTCTTGTGCCTGACCAGTCTGTCAGTGTCCTCTTATAGGAGCCCTTCATCAAACGTTCCTACTGGATCAGAGGGCACTTCGACTGGCTTGTTCAGGGAAACACACCAGCAGCATAAGGGGAACCCCTGAGTGAGTTTCCACACTTTATCCACTGCTGTTACCCACTGCTGGTGACTGCTAGAGCTCACGAGGATTAACAGTTTATGGAACAGCACTCTTTATTAATATAAAATTGTGACAAATTAAGGTTCAGACATTGGCGGTGGTAAGGACTGCCTGCAAAAACAAGCTTGAAGCTATATACAACCAGGCTATAATCACTAATAATAGCTAGTATGAGTTAGTTACTGAGCATGCATAATGAAATTCTTACCCAGTAAGTGTCCCTAAGGGGGAGAAGAGGTTCAGCCCATCAACTGATTCCAGTAGTTATGGTGGAGTCTTCTCCACTTTCTCTTTCCTAATTTCACATGTTTATACAATTTGTTTCAGGTTAATAACTCCCCATAATCTTCCCACCAATGTACAGAGTGGGTCAGTTAATGTCCACGAGGTTGCATCCTTTTCATTGAAAGGACAACCTAGTCATGTTTTACTGACATGTGAAGCTGTATGTGGACGATGTCCATGTGCTGTACCAGGCTTCAAGGATAGTCTTTCCTGATAAGAGATTTGTTAGCTCTGTTTCTTAATTTGCCTACACAAGGGCAAACCTTCTTCTCCTGCTATTAGTTCTTTGTTAGTGTTGTTCACTGTGACCTTGTAGAAGGCCCTTGTACCTGTTCAGGTTTCTCCATAGTAACACAGGTTTAAAGTTCTTAATGCCTATGGGGCTTCAGTGACTCTAGCCATACATACTATGTTACTGATGAGTGTAAAATAAATCCTCTCACTTTGCTTTTAGAAGCACAAATATAGTTTCCTTGTTTGGCAGCCACTGTGCAGTTTATCAGTACATGGTGCCTTCAAGTTCCCGCTCCTGCAAGGAGTATAACAGAGCCTGGCTCTGGGGCCTTCACTTAGCTCCACCTTCCCTTCAGTTTCTCTTAGCATATGCTAAGGTTGCATGGTTGCCTGGGGAGCTATCACTGGGTAGATTCCATGCATGCCAACTGTATCCCATCCTCCAAGTAGCAGCTGCATTTTACCCTAAGGTTTCCTTAATGTTGTAACTTTGTAAGACTGTGGGGAGGTGGTCTCTAATCTCCCACACTTTCCCACACTGATGTGATGAGGTTGTAGGTAGACTATAATTTCCAACAAGTTGGAATTTATGATCAAGATTTTTATGTTCTTTATACACATCCTCTATGGCAAGCAAATCATAATTCCATTGCAGTGGGATATAGATGAGCAGGTTCTGGAAATGTTTTTCATACTGTATTGCTGAATCCTCCATGAAAACAGGTTTATCTCAGAAACAGGAGAAAATTGGTCTCTCTATGGATGTGTCCTCATAGAAACAACAGCTGTTGGTTGAACTACACCCTCCTCTAAATAGTGGATATGTTAATAGGACTAGAATTCTTGAATACATTTTTTTCCCCATCTCTCTCTCCTTGGCAAAGGCAGGGTGGGAAAATATTCTGCCTGTGCAACATACTTGGAGTAGAAATAATGCAGAAGGAGGAGATTTTTAGCCAGTCTCAGCTGCAGCAAGATGGAAGTTAACCTGCACAGTTTAGACTTCCTGATTGAAACAAGGTTTTCTGGTGGTTTTTCAGCAAACCAATGAGCTGAACTGGCTCTGACTGTGACTTGGCAACAAATATATGTAATGTAGAAGGGAGTGTGCTAGGAGAGACCAAGACCACAGCTCTTGGCAGCAGCAAAGAATTACGTTTAAGTGCAAGTGTGAAACCACATTCTGACTTATCTTATTAACACCATTAGTCTGAAACCCAAGGTAAGCATGTTGCTCTTTGAACCTTAAACCATGGTTAACCTATCACTTCAATTTGAAAGCAGTTATTTAACTTCAGCAGAAATTTACAATATATGAATTCAAAGCAAATGCCAATTGCAGGTAAATTTAAATATTGTTCTTTGAGTCACAAAGATACAACTTGAGCTGTATTACTTGGTCTTGAGAGTTAGCATACGGAACAGTTCTCACATGCTTGAATATCTGTAGGATGGAGCCATAGGCATGATACAAAGACTGAATGTTATGTACTTTCAAAGTATCCAGCTTGTGTTATTTTTGGTTTTAGTATTTGGAGGGAGAAAGTGTTACTAACTGCAGTTGTCTTATGCTTGCTGCTTTAAAACTAATGTAATATTGCATTTAATACGGAAGTTGGAGGAATTCGCATGGGTTTAAATTGATATTTATTTTTTTTTAAAGGCAGTGGCTGTAACTAACAACAGCTGTTTATAGATGAATTTCAAAATAGCACTAATAAAGTATCATGTAACTTTCAGGCTGTAAAACAAACTCCCCTATATTCAAATCGGTCTGTAGATTTCTTTATTTGACGACCAACTTTTTTTAAAATTGGCTGCTTTTGTACTAGAAGTGATCTGGGTAGCAAAACCATTTCAGATGATGGAACAGCAAATTTTAATGGCAGCAACAGTAAAGAACACTTCCTTTCTGAAGTGGTAACATTTTTTTCTCTTGTGTGATTCCTGATGATACTAATAAATTCCTGAGCACTAATAAATTTGAGCTAACATTTTAAAAAGTGATATATTGTGTATGTTTATATTAACACAGTATTATAAGACATAAATACTTCTTTCATTCTTTATCTTTCAAGGCTACTGAAACCACTCAAAATGATACAAGCGATTCATCAGGGGAAGGAAGCAAAAGAAGCATTCATTTTCTGCCTAATGAAACAAACCTAGATCCTCAACTAGAAAACAAAGACTTGAATACCAAAGAAAAAAGTGATCCAGGTGTGGATGAAGATGATGTAGAGGGAGATTCTTTTTTTGATGATCCTATACCCAAACCAGAAAGAACTTATGGCTGGTAGGTTACATGCAAGTTCTACTTCATACAGGCTTATTTTTGTCCTCAGTATTCTTGCAGACCTTTGAGACCTATCTGGTGTTTGATTATTCACACTTGTAAATGTGTTTATATCTGTTCTGTAACATTTTGTTTCTGAAATGTGCATTTCTATGATTCTGTTCTTTGAAATGCACAGTGTAATCTCTGACCTCTTAGATAGATGTACAGAAGTAGGAAAAACCTGTATCGCTTTAAGGTACATCATGTGAACCATATAATGTCCCCAGCCTATTTCTTTGGTGCAATGAACATCTGAGACATCAGTGTTTCTTCTTGCAGCAGAGCTGCAGTGGTGATCAGTACTAAAGGGATAGTTCTTTAGATATCTCTATTGAGAAATGCTGCAAGATCATTTAATGGTGTTCTTTTGCTGTCTGAGTAATTGGAGAATTGCTCTAGTTTAGCAGAAGCTACCAGAAGAGGTTGCAGAAGCATTTTCGAGTCTGACAGTAGCTCCCCTCATGTTGGCTTTTTTCCCCAGCTGTTGGCAGAACAGCATAAACTTTTTGTATTATCACTGCAGTAGATGCTTACTCTTGGAATGGCATCATTCTGGTACAGCACAAAGCATTCATGCCAGGTAAAATTGGTCTCTTTCTACTAAACTCTATGAGAGAGATTATTGATGATACAGATTCCATTGGATGTATATATTTGGAACAGATTTTTTTTGTTTTTTTCCTCAAAGAGCAGTGATTTTTTTTTCTGTGGAAAACATTGTGTGTTACAAATAACTCTACTATAGTATTTCTTTTCCCTTTTTCTTTGTGGAAGTATCAAGATTAAAGCTACATCTGAATGCGTTTACTCTTCCTTTTCAGAAGCAAATTTAGCTAGCCTTTAACCAAAGTCTGACGCTCCTAGCAGGAGATGGTATTGCCATAAAACAGGTTTAAATTATATGTTGGGAAAACTAGAAAAGGCTGAAGAAAGTTCTGAATAGTAATGAAGTTTACTAATTTCTTACTGTTTGAGCATTTTGTTATGAGAGGATGGGAAATTCAATTTCAAATTGGGTAAACAGCCTTTCTTTAAAAATACCGTCCAAGAAAAAGATTGTTAATTATTTAGTAAAATAAGCTTTTTTGGTTGTGGTTGGGTGTTTTTCTTGTTTTTTGGGTTGTTGTTTTTTTTTTGGGGGGGGGGGGGGGGTTGGTTGTGGTTTGTTTTTTTTTCTGGAACAGAAACCTCCTACAGAAAAGCTGATTTCCAAATTACACCTGCAGTAGAATCACAGTCCACCAAGGAGTGACTTGAACCTCATCATGTTTTTGGAATGTAGTTGTTATAGTAAGGTTTGCTGAATATTTTAATGAGGTAGCAACTGATTGTGACTGAGCTGTCTCTGCTGGGTCTTTTGCTTCTGCCCTTTTGGTAGCTCCTCTAGAGGAGAAAAAAGAACATACTCTTCAGGTATTATTTTGTAGTATGTTGTGCTGGTGTGCCCAGGTCTCAAGGGATGAGTAAATGGGAGAGGCGGCAGCATTGTTTGGTGTGCAGACAGGTAAATTGCTTATGGGATCTTTGCCCATTCCCATAAGAAAGGTGCATTAGAGAGGAAGGGAGCAAGCTGTTACTAAGGGCAGAATAAGAGATGATCCAAGCTTTCATTGCCCTTAGGCCTCTGACTCATTATTCAAAATTTGGAGGTGTTTACCCATGTGATGATATACATGATATTTTGGTGATATATAATTAATGATTCAAATCTTGTCCATTACTAGTAGGAATGGGATCACAGTAACAAACAGTTCTGGTGATACTAAATGTGGAAGTCTTGATCTCTTTTAAATAATGTTTCTTCATCCTTTACTTGCAATTAAAGGACTTGAGTTCAACACTTAAAATATGTGAATGAAATAGGTAGTAGCCTAGTGAGCTTTAACATGTGATGATGAGATCTATCTTGCTGCAACTGAGAGATTTTCATTCTGTGAACTGACTGCTCTTAGGGTTAATAGTTTTGTTGGACATAATCTCCTTTAGTTCTAAACCAAACCAATTTAAATATTAATTTATATCTGTCTTCTTTTGACTGCATTTACTTATGGGGATAATTAAAGGCCCCTTGATAAAAGTAGTGATTCTGATGAAGGTGCAGGATCTCTGTCTGTGAAAGAAGGCAGGCAGAAGTCTCTGCATAGGTGAGAGTTATTTTCATACTGAACATCTTGCTTGATACTTGTGCTAGTGAACTGCTTATTTTTTCTAGGTTATAGAATAAATAGTTCTTTCCCCTTGCTCTTTTTGCTGTAAATGTTCTTGTCCTAGTTTTATGACAGTTTAGTAAATATAGAAGAGAAGGTAATTCTGCGCATCTTACAGCTCTGTGGAGTACTTATTTATTTGGTTTGTTCTAGGAAAACTGAAGCTAATAAAGCAGGAGGTCTGGATTCCCTTTCTGATGCACCGCCTTTAAAAAGTGGGTTAAGCTCCCTGACTGGTGCACCTTTGCTAAAGGAGTCTGATAGTAAGTTTTCATTTGTTTTGTGTTTTGATGACTGTAGGAAAGATTCTCCACAATGTAATGAATGCAAATAGGACTGCATATGTGGCCCCCTTCTGGTTATAACATGTTTTTTTCCCACAGTGATCACATACTAATTTTGATGCATTATTGGGATGATTATGTTTTGAAGCATGAAATTCTCATCTAGATGTGTGTTTTTGTATATAAAAAGCAATTTTCAGGATTATAAAATTCTATTGCTTGGTTTTTAACTGAAATTAACTTACTCCTTACTATTATTATCTTACATTATTTGTATAAACTCTTTAGGAATATTTGCCTTCATGTTGTAAAACCTGATCCTGAATACTGGGAGATTGTCCCTGTTTACTACTGACATTTTTAAATGTTAGTGGAGTTTGGACCTGAAAACTGGATATGATTATACAATACTATAAAATTATATAGGGTTAATATAAAAGAGTACTACTGAAATGGCTGGTGGGTATTGCTTAAGTGTGGTCTTACTAAAGAGTCAAAGTCAAATTTCTGATAGAAATGTTTTTGTTTTGTCACAGATTTGCATAGAAACACTGTTTTGAAAGACCTGCGGCTGGTGAATGCAAAACTGGGATCACTAGAATTAGGCAAGTAACTGCTTTGAGGAAGCTCTGGTGTTTTTAGGTGTAAGCTCTGTCGTGGCTTCTTAGAGGAGTCTGAGAAACTGAAATAAATAGTGAAAGAAGTAAAAGCTTTTAATGAAGATTTTAATTCAGTATATTTAACACCACTGTAAAACTTTCTGGAGTTAAGAGCAAGATCTGATCCATGTGGGTTAGTATTCTACACATACAGCAAAAACTTGATTCATTCTATGCATGTTTGCTAATATCAAGTGCTAAATTCTGTTGTCTAGGTTTCTAAGAAAAGAAGGGATTTATATTTATGGGAAAAAAATAGCCAGACAAGTCTTAGCTGGTTTTCAGTGGCATATTTCCTTGCCCTTCACACCTTTTGAAAGTTGCCTTGTAAGCTCTAGGAGCAATATGAAGATGATGTGGTATAAGAACTATCAGCTCTATCATAAAATATAGCTGCCATGTATTTAGATGTCATATTCAGCGATGTAGACAACATCCTGAAAATGTATGTTCAATTTCAAAGCAGTTTGTGTAAATGAGGTTGAGATTTATTAGTTACAAACATAAAGTCATCTTCTTTTCCTAATCTGCACAAGTAATGTAGTCTAGTCACACTTTTGCTGGCTGTTAAACCATGCATTTTGGTGCAGGAATATATTCTTTTGCATTTCTTAAATGGTTTGATTGATACCTTTTTAAAAATTACTCAGGAAATGGAGATGACGACGAGTATGCTGATGACTTCAACAGGTAAGAGGAGGATGATACTGCAGTACCATAATAGTTCATGCATCATAAGAATATCCACTAGTATATTTGAATTATTGCATAAGATTTAGCTACTAACTATTGCTGGAATCTGTCAGTATCTCTGAACTCCTTTAAACTTGGTTGTTATTTTAATATATGTAGTTAAAAATTAAAAACTCAAAACAAAGAATCGCCATAACCAACAGGTCCTTTTTGTGCAGGGAGTAATAAGTTCCTTAAAATCCTGGTGCTAACTTTAAGACATTAAGTTGTTGCTTTTTCTGAAGGTGTTTGGTTGTTGTTTTTTTTCTGAACCACGCACTTCATGTTTTAACACTTCAGTTAATGCTATTAGATAGTAAGTACAGCATATGCTGGAATATTCAATTAAAAATAAAGCATCATGAGTAATCAGTAATAAATATTTAACAGCTTCATGATGTGAAGGTATTGGTGTTGTAAGCCATAGGGGTATTTATCAGTATCTGTCATAGCTGCAGCTAGGTATAGAGCCTTTAGTTAAGGGTTTTTAAATAACTTCATATTTAACTTGCTAGGAAACAAAATCCCAATCAAACGTGAGGTATAAAGTGAAAGTGAATGTAATACCTGGATGTTTGATAAGGAAGTCTTATTTCTACATTTATGATTTTCTTTCTCTTTAGTACTAGTCATCGCTCAGAAAAAAGTGATATCAGTATTGGTGAAGAAATAGATGAAATTTCTGTGGGAACAGAAGAGTCAATTGCCAGTGATAAAGTATGATTCTTTTAAAATTATTCTTCTTGGCATTCTTCTTGTCTTGACTTTTTTCTTTTAACCTTTCATGAACGAATGTGCCATTATCATAGGCTCCTTGTATACATGTTTAGACTGTATTATTTGTTCTGTGTTTTTACACCTAGTATTCCTGCAAAGTTAAGATACAATGCAGACTAAAAAACCAAAGATCTCACAGCAGTTGTTCAGTAGCACAATTCACTGTCTATTTCTAGGCATGTGAAATGTATTTGAGACTGGTTTAATATCCCACATTCAAATATCTTTCCTATATCTCAAGAGCACCTCCTAAAGGAGTATGAAATCTCACTGAAAAGGCTTGAGACCAAAAGGATGGAATGGTACATGGACTACAAGAAGTAATGCTTACTGTTTCCATGATTTCTGATTTTTTTACTTCCATTTATTTTCTAGCTTGAAGGCATCACGCAAGACCTTACTATTTCTCAGTTAAGTGATGTGGCAGATTATCTAGAAGACGTGGCATAGAATTAGACAGCAAAAATGTTTCATTGTGCTGGACTAGAAGACTGCTGTGGACTACTAATTTCAGACAATCACTTCTTGCTGGAACGTCCACTCTATTTGTGCCTTGTATTTCAAAAAGACTGTACGTGGAGAAGGCTTTTAAATATTCTTAACACGAACTAAATGAAATATTGTGTTCCCATTTGAGTCTGATACTTTTTTCATTTGGTTCAGCCAGACCTTTTACAGCAGGAGGTGGATTTTTCCACGCAGAATGTCCATTGCTGGCAGTGGGCATAATAAAAAACAACTAATAAGAGAACAGTGACAGAGAAGCATGTGGCTTTATAACAAACTTGCACTGTTATTGTAACAGTCTGAATTAGTTTTTTTTTAAAGATAACCAAAGCAAGAACCTTCAGAGGCAGTGGTTCAACTCGCACTTCTTTTAACCCTATTTTCCTGAGACAGTATGTAATACATATTTATGGTAACTAGCCACAACAGCCAGTTGCTCGAGACTTACTTGAAACTGCTGGTTTTCAGACTCCTCTGAAAGATGGACTTTTTTAGGCACATCAAATGGAGAGTATTTAAACTCTCAAGTCCAAATTTAGCTAAATTTAAGAGCTAAGTTTAGCATTAGTCTTAACTGACTATTCTTGTTTAAATCTGTTTTTCAGACCATTGGTGTTGAAGACCTAAGCTGTTTTTATACATGATAATTTCATTGATGTTACCTGTCGTTAAATCACAATAAGTAATTTTGTAAAGATCCACAAATCGTTAACTAAATCTTAGCAGTTTAAGTTTTTAGCAATGTAATGGTTTGTGGAGCTGTTACTGCTGAGGGCTCTTCATGTGCTGTAAGCTCACTTTCATTCTTGAAAACTCTTACTGTGTAAAAATGAGCGCCAGAAAATGAAACCACTGACCTTGTTTTTCAAATTGACTGCTGTACAGAATTGCATCCAAATATTGAAAAATACCTTGCAGAAGACATTACGGACACTAAGTTCTAGCTAGGAGCAAATTCTTGTACTTTCATTATACTTTTGCAAATCAGGGTCAGTAATGGAAACTGATAGTTCTTTAACAATACTGTTGTACGTGGCGCTGCTATAACATATAGGTCATGGACATTTGTGATACTCAAACAAGACTTCAAAATGTGCACTTTTTGAACATTGTGAACACACTTGGAAAATATACATGTAAGTGAATAAAAATAATATGGGGGGGTTTTTTAGGCTTTGTAATATTCTTTTTTTTTTTTTTTTTTTGCAGGAACACTGTTGGCTGCTTATTAGTGGTCGCCACAGTGGAAGTAGCGTGCTAAACTAAAGCCATTGGTTAAGCATTAGAGCTGCTACTAGCGTTGGATGCTGACTTAAATCTTTGTTTGCACTGGGCCAGCAGGCATGGAACAGTGCTGGGAAGTTAGGCTTGTACAGTACATAAATGATCTGAGAGGAGAGAGGAAAGGCGTGCCTTTTATTTATGTGCACCCCAAAACAGCCAGCAAAAAGCATCAGAATATTTAGTCATGGTGTTAACTTCTAACTTTGTGCCATATTGTACCAGATGAACACAGATTTTATTTTTTTTCCACCCCAAAAAATCAATGTGCCATAGACTTCAAATAGCAACAACGTTGTAACATACGCATCCTGTGGGGGGAAAAAAATCCCTTTAAGTATGGGGGAACCTGTGCCTCAAGATACTACATATGAAAAGTTTGTTTGGGGCTGGTTTGGAGTTTTTTTGTGTTTTGGAGAAATGCAACAGCACGAATGAAGGAAATAAAATTCCATTTGAACACCTAGAAACAATTGATTTTTTTTTTTAAGGTGAGTGGAATAAAGCAGAGGCAGCGTTTTGTTTTCTTGGGAAAAAATGATGTTCTACTGCCTGTTAGCTGTAGGATATGGGGCAATTGATCATAACAAAAGAAGCAAAATCCTTATTAAATGATTTCTAATCGGTTTTGAAGATGTGGCCTTTTAAATAACTAATTAGGTATTTTAAGCGTGAACATGGCTCTTGTTAACGGCAAGGTGGTGGTGTCTTACCTAGGGGGTCAATTGGAGACCTTGCATTTTGGCTGTAATTTAAGGAAATGCCAAATAGTATGAAGTGTCCATGCTGTTCTTCTTGTGGGCTTTTACGGAATTGTGTGTAATAACTCAAATTGCAAAATAAAGCTGTTATGCTGGCTAAATTGTATTTTTGAGTCTTTGTGAACCAAAGATCTTAACCTTAGGAAATTGAGGAAGCCCTGTGTGTTTTTGGGGGGTTTTCTTGAAATATGAGGGGTTTTTTTCAGGGTTAGTTTTGTCTACAGTTGAGAGTGTGTGCATGCTCAGGTTTCTTCAAAGTCTAAAGCATCTTGCAGTTCCTGATGGTAAATCGTGAAGTCTGATAAAGACCAGACTGAATAGGATTACTGGGTGTCAGTCTGAGTTATCAAATGGTTTATGATTCATCAGACAAAGGGAAGAAATAATCCAATCTTAATTTGCACAAGTTTGTGGTGTTTACAATTGTTAGTCTGAGTTACTTAAACATGTCTGGCAAGCTAAGCTCTCTTGCTTGCTTGTGTTGTTCTACATTTCGAACCACATTGTTTGGTATTTTACATTAGGCTTCTCCATGAAGGACCTAAGGCAGTTAAATACCTGACATCACCTGTATGAACCCTATCATAAAAAAATGGGAATGTTTCTGTAGCTGTTCTTCTGTACTGCTTCTGCCTTTTTGCAGACATCTCTGTGAACAGAGAAGGAAGTGTCTGAGAGGGCCACTTAGGACTGGTTTGTGCAGTTCTCTGCTGGTTAGGTCTGGTTAGAAGCATGCTTTTTTGCTGAACACTCTTTGAGATTTGGTTAACAAATCCTGTGATTTCCAGAAGTAAAAAGTTCAGGACTAACCTATGGCTGACAGTTCCTTATTAATGCAGTAATGAGAGTGGATTATGAAAACATACCTGTCTTACTTTTTGTAGTGAAGTTACTGTATTCCACCCATCTTTTTTTCCTCTTTTTTTTTCTTTAAGCAAAGTGAGAAGCCATGTACATCTGATAAAATTTCCTCATAAGTGATATATTCATCAGCTGTAATGAAAGCATTCTCAGCTTCAGACTAGTTTGATAATTTAGTCCTTATTTACACAATATATCTAGCTCTTGAGGCAACTTAAATCGCAGTATCACAGTATGTCAGGGTAAGTGACAAGGTGATTGGGTGATGATCATGAAGAAGGGGGGCTACTACTTAATTTGCTTTTTAGCATTGTAATTTTCACTGATGAAATATTTTGTACAAAGCCTGGCCTTCTTTTCTGGAAAGAATGCATCTGTGGAGAGTTCAGTTGTAGCTAAAAGCTAACAAACTTCTGTTTTCTTTAGCATTGTCTGTGCAGCAGCCAGGATGACTGCTTCATGTTCGTTTCAGGAATGAATACCAGATGCATTGGTTTTGATAGGTCTTTTTGGTTTGGTGTTTTAATTATCAGGTAGAGCCAAAAGAGAAGTTGAACTGAATTGCAGGAGGTGTGGGTTTGGTAGATTTGTAAGTGATCTCATTCATCTTGAAGCTACTTCTACAGGCAATCTACAATTAATTCAGCACTGCAAAAATAAAACTTGCACGATAAGACTGACTGTCTTGGATTTCTACTAAAAAAAAGGAATTGGGCTCTTCAAGGTCACTGAGATACCCAAAGATTGAAACTGTCAGGAATGCAATGGGTATTAAAAAGTGGAAGTTCTTTTGTTTATGTCATTTATGGTATTAAATTCTCATGGGGTGGGGGGGAGGTTAAATCCCAAAAGCCCAGTAACCTCTAGCCTACAGTTTCTGGTTTTGGTCTACTGGGGTACAAACATTTGTTGCTGCTGTGATTAATTTTTGTATATTTTTTTTTAATACAGGATAATAGGAAAGATGTGTATACAATATGTCATTTTGGAGTATGTCCATAATATCTTAGCATCAACCACAGTTCCAAAGTTGTGTAACTTTTCCCAAATCACTTATTCTTTTTAATATATTTCAGAGGGCAAAACATAAGTATATGCCTTGCTGTTCAAAGAAGTGCCTATTCTTTCTCAGGCCTCAAATTGTATCACTTTCAGTAAGTCCGTTGTACCATTTGGGGGGAAAATGGTCAATAAATGAATAAGTACAGGAAAAGGATGGAAAGTCATTCTTTTGTACTAGAGCAGTCCCCTAGCATTGTCTTGATACAGTAGCTGAGGAACAGTAGAGAGATCACAACAATGTTGAGCATATAATTAAAGGGTATTTTGGGGAATACTTGCCTTGTTCCAGGAATTGCATGTTTGCTTTCAGTGTTGAGGTTTTTGCCCTAACTGTCACTTGACCTAGGGGACCAGCATGCTTTGTAAGCTCCTCAAAAAGGTGTTTTAAAGCGTTGTTAAGCACAGTGCAGGAGAAGAAATGCAGACCTGATACTTACAAGTTGAATGAGCTGCAGCTGGGAAACAAAAGCAGAGTGAGGGATTGCACACTGAGCAGGAAATCTAATGGGGACAAGGCAGGTGTGTTAGGCTCCTCTTGCCTGGTCAGTGTGTAGTGCATGAGGAAGCAGCCTGAGGGGAGCCAGCCAGCATCCATAAAATGGGAGAAATGCAACTAGGACATGAGAGATTGAGAGGGTGCCTGCTGGCTGCAGGGGAGCAGAGCAGGCTTGTGTTCATCTTTCTTAACACCTGAGGGTTGCCGTTACTAGCTTGTGGAAATAGGCAGGAGTTGGTGAAAGAAGTTGAGCAGTAATGCCACAGATGGTGTTTGAGACCAGTAGAGGACACAGTGATGAGCTGCAAGACAGTCCTTAGTGCTTGCAAGTTCAACTACCCCTCCATATGGGATACCTCAACCCAGACACAACCCTGAAGAGCATGTGGCTGTCTAGGTGCAGGGATTGCCTGGGGCTTCTTAGAGGTTGGGGTCACAGAAGTCTCACCTGCTGGAGCTGTGCTTTGATGGGGACACTGAGCTGCTAGGTGAAGCAGGATGGATGGCATCAGGAATACCAACAGAAGGGCAAAGGTACTTTGTGGCCACTGTAAAAGCAAGAACCCCAATCCCCCATTGCATGGAAGAAGGGGAAGGCCAGAGGCAATGTTTAACCAGGGGAGGGCTGGAATTTCTATGGAGGAAAAAATAAGGTGGCTTTTTCTCCAGGTGCAGGTGCTTACAGAGAGATCTTTAGAGCCCTGATAGGAAGACAGGGCATGAGTTTTGGCAGAAGATGCATCTAGCCATGCTGTCAGAGCCAGTGAGGCTGAGAGAAAGTGACAGAAAACAGCAGTCAGGGACTTCTGCAGAGGGATGAAGGCACCCCTCTGCCCATCAGACCTGTTTGTTCCTTGCCTCAGCCCGTTTCTAGTATGTGTCTGCTGTCACAGGCAGGGCTTTGGTTAAGTCTGTGTGAAGAATGAGGTCTTCAAGGAAAAGACAAGATGCACCTGATGAAGATTATTTTCTTTGCTGACAGGGTTGCTAGCCTTGTGGGGAGTTTAAACTAGGTTTGTAGGGTATGGACACCAAAGCCTGCAGGTAGCGCATACAGGAGAGTCTGAGGGAGGGACATCCCTCACTGCAGGAAATCGGAGGTTCTTTTCCACAAACAAATGTGCAATGGAATAAACAAGAAAATGAGGCAGTCTGCAGTCACTAAGCTGTGATATCGCTGGGATGACAACACATGGTGGAAGAGCTTGCATGAGTGAGTGCTACAGTGCATGGACACAAGTTCAACGAGCAGGCACAGAAGAAAAATGGAGGGGGAAGGTCTATAGAGGAGTAGTGTGAATGGGCAAGTATAATTGGAATAGAGAAAACCCTGAGTCCACCAAGAGTTTGCTGTCAAGGCTGAAATGTAGGCTAATAAAGGGGATATTGTGGTAGGAACCTCCAACATGACTCAATGAAGAAAAGGAAGAGAATGAAGCCTTCCTTAAACACTTTCAAGAAGTCTCCTGATTGCATGCTGTGGTTCTCATGGGGATTTTTAACCACTTCCAGTTTGCAGGAAGGCCAACATGGCAGAACACAAACAAGTAAGGAGACTAGAGTGTGTTAGGGACTGTCTTTTACTTGGGTTCACAGCAGGATGGGACCAAGAGAGGTACTCTAGATCTGCTGCCAAGGAATAAGAAGTGCTCAAATGCAATAGTCAATGGCAACCTTGGATACAGTGGCCATGAGATGACAGAGTTAAAAACAGAGCAGAGAGGAAAACAAGTGGCCAAGGAACAGACATGGGCTTCAGGGAAGTGAATTCTGTCTCATTGAGGACCCTTTAGGAGGCTGCCCTCAAGGAGGCCAGAGCTGGTTGCCTTCCGGTATGGAAAGCAACTAGGCATAGCAGGGAGGCAGACAGACTAGCTTATTGAGAAACTCCTGGCTAAGCTCAAAAGCAAGAAGTTGTGTGGAAAGTGGAAGTGAGGATGGGCTACAGGGGATGGACATGGAACTGTGCAGCTGTACAAGCATGGTACAAGAGACATGAAAGCTTGGCTGAAGCTGAAACTAGCAAGGGATGTGAAGGCAGCAAGAAGGGTTTCCTCAAGCGGGACATCAGTAAAAGGAAGATGAAAGAAAATGTGGGCCTGCTGCTGAATGGAAGGGGATTACCTAGTGGTGAAGGTAAAGAAAGACTGAGGTAGCTTTTAAAAAGGTGAGAAAAAGGATCTAGCAAGGTACAGACCAGTTGGCCTCACCTCAGTTCCTGGGATGCAAGTCCTTGTGGCAGCCATTTCTAAGTACATGAAAGAAAATAAAGTGACTGAG